CCAGACTTGAACCCACCAGCTCTGGTGTATGTGGCTAGCACCCTAGCTGCTGAGCTACAGGCACTGAGCCTATGATAGCTTCCTTTTTAAGCCTTAGATTTCTCCTCTTAGGAAATTGGGTAAGGGGAACAGGGGTGTGATAGTAGTAGCAGTGCTTCCCAGTATGTATAGTACAGCGTGCTTACAAAATACGATTATAGATTATAGAAATACGTATTTGGTAAGTTATTTTTCTATACGATTATAGATTTATGATTGGTAGAAGATAATTGAATAATACTAACCACCATTTTACTATAACTCTAGGTATAGAGCTGTCTTTTTTTTTAACACTTTGGAAAGAATCTTCCTGTTTTAGGTTCAAGAGTTTTTACCATTGTGATGATCTACTTTTTTTCACAGGTAGTTTGAATCCTTCATGCAGTTGTGAAGATTGTGCTCTGCATAAAGAGCCTTTGGCCTCTTGGGTGCCAGTCATTCTTTGACAGACCAAATACTTTTTCTCTGAATGTTTTATCTGATCTTATTTCTTAATAATTATTCATCTTTCTGAACCCACCTGAAGTGGTAACTTGAAAACTTAACGTTGTGGTCTCTATAATTGTTGGTTTTCTTGGGTGAATCTCAAGATTTGGGCATCATATCAGAACTTTTTTGTGTGTGTGCAGTTTTTGGCTGGGGCTGGGTTTGAACCCGCCACCTCTGGCCTATGGAGCCAGTGCCCTACTCCTTTGAGCCACAGGTACCATCCCCATGTTTGAACTTTTTGAGGCTTTCTGCCATTTAAAAATTCTTCTGTCTAATTTAAATAATGATATCTTGTAGGATTTTTAAATAATTTTTAGTAAGTTATTTTACTATTAAGACTACATGTAGTGGTTTAACACTTTTATTTATGTGTGTGTGTATTTATTCCTGATCTTTTAGTGACAAAACATAAAGGTACTGAGAAAAGAGAATCCCCTTCACCAGCTCCGAAGCCTAGAAAAGTAGAGTTATCTGAATCAGGTAAGTTTTGGTTTTGTTTTGAGTTTTGTTTTTTTTTTTTTTTTAACACATTTCATCATCCCTTCTGCTTGAATATTAATTATATAGGATATGGCTTAGCAAGTAAGAACTAAGACTCTATAAAGTCTGACAAACCTTATTGGAATCTCTAGCTCTAAGATTTAATTGCTTTTTGTTTGTTTTA